TCTCGAAATCTGAATAGCCCATCTAGCTTGCTGTGCTTACATCGGTATTATTATTTACCGTAGCGCGCGTTGAGGACGCACCGGAGTAAGTTCGCAGTGGGACGTGGAGTCTGCACTCGAGGTGCATATACCAGAGTTTGCTCGCGGGAGCGTTGCTCGATGTGGTGCAATCAAACAATGAACGATTGCACGATGGTGAGCGATGGCTGACACGACATCACTTGGAGTGTGAGATGATTGGGAAAGAATCTTTTCAGCACGCCGGGAACCCCGCCTTTGCGGCGAGTACATATTATCCGTTGTAGTCCAGTTGCTCAATGCCATTATTTTGTGTGGGCGCGGAGGTGCATCTCGTTGGCATTTCTAGTTTCGAAAGGAAAGAGAAGATCGAAGTATAACCTGTCCTAGGCATTGTCTCGATCCGTCCTTTCGCCGGGGGACCATTTGATACCAGTAAGTTATCACCAACCAATCCGGCAAACCCACCCCACACCCAGAGTTGTTTTTTGAAACCGTGGTCAAACATGACGGACGGCTCTACGATGCTAGAACTGCACAGGAGTGTGCAAACTACATTCGTGCCACTGGCAATGGGAGTATTCGGGAAAATACATTGATTGCAACGTGTGAGCGATCTTGCCGTGAAGACGTGGGCAATCCTCGGCAATTGGAAGATCAATCGATACACGGTGTATCCGCCTGAATAATGGATGGATATGGCGGAGCGAGGGTGACGTAGTTCGGTCTGAGAAGTCTTTCCACATCATTACCCATATCCTTGCAATTTTCCCTACTCGTGCTCGTTCTCTTGTCAGCTGTCGGCGAAGCTGAACATGCGCTGAGATGGTTAACGCGGCGCAGCGAGTGCCTCATCGTGCTCGGAGGCAACCCTTGGATCATGCCACCTGAGGGTGTAGTCGAGAAGGGACTACCGGCCGTTGAATCATATCTCCTCGACGTGCGCAAGGCCGAGGAAGCTGGTGCGGAGGTCAAGACCCTGAAGCTGCTCAAGGTTGTCTTGGTCGGATCCTCACAAGCTGGGAAAACCAGGTATTCGTTCAGCATAGAGGGAGAAACAACCACAGTATTGTCAGAACACACAACATGTCCCATCGTAGTGCGGCGTTCCCGATGTCATTCCCGATGTCACTGTGATTGTTCTTGCCTTGATACTTGTCTTGCGCCCGATGCGCATCACGCAAAAAATTACGGCACCATCGGTACCGTGCGTGGAGCTAGTTACCATGATTGGCTGTTCCCGTTGTTGTCCAGGCAACGTTTCCTCCTAAGGCTTTTCTATGCGCACGAGTAGCCTCCACTGTGCTACAACAGCACTGAAGAAACGGAGGATTTGGGTGTTTGTTTTGAGGAACAGCCCTCTTGTCGTGTCGTTCACCAATCACACTACCAGGGGTCTGCAGACATTCGCCCCACAAAGGGTACTGGTGACGGCCCACGGTCATGTGACGTTTTTCAGGGCCGTGTGTACGAATTTGTGTGTTCTACTCCGAATCCGATTCCTGTCCAATCCCATGTGGGTGTTTCCATAATATTTTTTGTTCACCTGCAGCTTGGTCAACAGTATCGTCGAAGGACGCGGACTCCCCACGGTTGGGACACCGGCGGAAGTGAGCACGGTGGGCATTGAACTACTCCGTCACAACCTTCAGGGTACAGCTGTCGAGTTCTACGATTGCGCCGGGCAAGTGGACTACTACGGGATGCACCAAAATTTTCTGACCAGACGGGCTCTGTACCTCCTGGTCTGGGACGTGTTGAGATGCCACGGAAAAACCGATGACGACCTTGACGAGGTGGGCAAGGTCTAGAATATCAGCATACTCACGCAATTCACTTTGCATGACATCACCGGCACGATGCCGCTGACTGAATACGTGTTCATCGAATCCTACAGTTTGTTCCGGGCCCACCAACGCACGCCGATACGGGGCACCTGCTGACTACCGGCAACGTGTTTCAAGTTCCCTTTGGCCGCGGCATCATCCCCATGATGGAATTCTCCGTTTCATCTGATGTCGCATATTGTAATCACGAGTGCGACTGGTTCGCTTTTCGCGTGTGCTTTCATCCAAATGACGATATTTGATACCCCTCGTGTAAACACTGGGGTGCTGTTGCTGGCAGGTTATTTTCCAGGACATCATGAGGTGGCTGTATGTTCTACACCTTCGAGCACCGGGGTCCACTGTGATATTGGTGGCGAATAAGTGCGATGGCTCAATTGAAGACTTCACGGGTACTGCCGCGGTTGTCGAGGAGCGCGTGGCGGTATTGCGCAAGGAGTGGCGTAAGGCACGGGGGTTTTCTAGCACTCGGATGGACATGGACATGACGGTACTAGAACGCTCCAGCCTGGTCAGTTGTCTAGACGGCGTTGGTTTGCAGGAGATGATCGACCGAATTGCTGCTCAAAGCGCTGCGTCCATGCGTGTGCCACCGGCCTGGGGGCTCGCTCTAACATTCCTTGACGCTCTGAGGGATTCGCGGGACCCGCAGCAAGCGTGTCGAGATTGTTTAAGTCTGGGTTCACGTCCCAAGGTGGGTGCTGACCGCGAGCCTGGACGTTCGTTCTTCACGGAGAACTCCTTGGTCGAGCAATGGAAAGGCGTCGTGCAGAACGTCGAAGGCGAGCTACGGTCCGATGCAGAGAAGATGGCGGTGTCAGATCCAGATGGTGCGATCGAAGGCGCTCTTTGGATAAGGTGAGGTACTGCCGAAAGATGGCGCGGAGAGAAGACTGCTTTGTTCGTGGCGATCACTTACTTGTCGACGAGTGTCAGTCGGTTACACGGGGAAATCAATCATGTGTGCGACGGTGCTCTCGATCCTATTCACCAGTCTTTTCCAGGTGCGGTTCGTCCAGGTTACGAAACGCCCACCGGCTATAGGTGTGAAAAGTGACGCATACGTTCTGGAGGCTACTGATGCTTCGTTTGCGTTCTTTTAGGATGGAGACATGGCGTGTATATTGTCGGGTTAGGTTATTCGACTGTGAAGCGTGTGGCGCAATCTACCATTGTACTCCGCAATTGAAACGCTGTGCGTCACAAGTGCAAGGAGGACGACAAAGGCGAGTAGGTACGAGCAAAGTCCTTCACAAAGAATGGGTGCTTGGTGGCTGATCACTTACTCCCGTGATTATCCCGTTCGTTGCTTGCTACTGGTTTCAGTGAGTTTGCCGGACAGGTCCTTCGCGTTGCCAATGGGGACGGTGTATTCCTGGACGTCGTGTGGCTCTCAACCGCCTTGAAGCCCATCCTAGACCATAAGCTTGTACACAAGGTGTTTCCTCAACACTTTGCAGGAATGAGGAATGAGCTTGTCCACAATGGAATACTCCGAATAGCGTTCGCAGAACACCTTTGGAGCGATGTGATGGAAATAACGGTACCCGAGGAAGTGCTGGATGCCCTCTGCCGTGTGATTGTCAACCTCGGCGTTGCTCTTCCTCTCGAACCAGCTAGTCTGTTGCCCGGCAGTGGCCGCGCCCTTGCAACTGGTCGCCCCAACATCAGCCGGCAAGACATGTTGGTGATCATGCGGCTACCCGAAACATGCGGAGCGGAGCACGAACTGCAGGAGCTGATCTCAGACCAAATGAGAAGACACAGCGATCGGGAGGTCACCCTGATGTGGAGGTTCGACAGTGCAGGACCTCCGTACGGGCTTGTGGAGCGCGTGATCGCCTCGTGTCATGCCGTTGGTGTCGTCGAGATGGGGCTGTGCTGGAGATATGGTGCTGTCTTCCAGAGTCGTGCGATGGCCACGTCCGACGGATCCGACAGGTTGTATACATTTGTCGTTCGCTATGACTCCGCTGTCGGCAACGAGCGGAGGATTCTGTCGATGAGGATGTTCGGACCCCTCCAGGACAACAGGGTGTGGGCAGCGCTGCGCTGGGTGGCCTCGTCAGTGGTGAACATTTCTAAGGATTGGCCTGGCGTGCTGTGGGAAGGCTGGCCGCAGTGTGCCAGACGCCACAGGAACCGAACCTACTTCGCAACATCGGACAAGGTAATGCTGCTTCCCGATAGCAGTAGATGTCGGGTGAGGACTATCGCTGGAGCGGGGGTAGGCTGCGTACACACCCGTCTTGTGATCACTCCGAAAGATAGTCTTGCGGTGATTTTCCCCTGGAGTTTCTCGCTGGAGGAAGAAACGCAAGTGACAGCATGCCACGCCACGCCGTGTGCTGTTCCCGTAGCCCCCCCCCCGCCCCTCCCGCCCCCATCCTCCCCCCGAGGAAACTGAAAGGATTTCACCCGTCAAAGTTTACACCCAGATGACATCAATTGAAGTGATGTGCCGGAGAACGTCTCATTATTTTTCGGTAATCACCCCGTTTAACATGTTGTCATGTTGCGGGGCTATAACTAGTCATGGTGAGTGGGGACTTCGGTACTTTCGTTTCGTCGTGTATCGAGCAAACTACGCCTTGTCTTTTTCGCGAAAGGGGCCTATTTTGTTCGCCCCCCATATGATCAACGGTAAAATTACGCTATTTCGCAGGCACCACGACGTGCCCCGTGGTAACCTTGGTCAGCGAGCTTTGAAAGTTGGTACGCACCTCCTCCCTTCACGATATTCGTTATTTTCGTGATACTTGATCGCAGGCAAGTATTGGGGACTTTTTACTCGCGGACGCAGCTACGGGTGCGACCCGTCGCGGGTGTGACTGCCTGGCCGTGGAGGGCACGGTGCTAAGACTGGTACTCGAGCGCCTAGGCAAAGTCGTCGATACTCAGGCGCCGCCTGCAAGTGACGTTGAAGGTGTGCATTTTCGATTTCAGTCCAAGGTGTTGATGTTAATAGGCGGCGAATCTGTAATAAACTAGCAGAGAATCCGGGTGTGACCGATGAATCTCAAATCTTTTTGAACAAAAACTCAGTGTGTCATGAAGCCGGGTTGGACCAGAAGCGCAAAATGCCTATTCGAGATTTGAACCTCCGGTCGAGCACCGGCATCGCTGTGATTGCATCTTTGTATATTGCGTACATTACCGGGCCGCCGTTGATTGTGACGCCCCGTACATGCCAGAGATGAATGTTGTCAAATCCCTGCGATAGCCGATTTGTTACCCGTGTACTATTGATAGACCTCCGGAGCCAGGGTTCGTTTACAGCCCACGTCTTCGTCCCCCGGGCATCGTACATGTGCGCCAGTTCGCGCGGAGGTGCAACCGTTCTATTTACGTTTTCGTTTTTGCCTTAATCGTACGATTGCAACAAACGTCGAGGACAATCGAATGAAATACCCGCCCTTTGCCTCCCTCCCGCTCTAAACCAGAGCACAGTTGTTGTTGTTTCTCACATTAGCTCTATTGTCCACAAAAAATGGGGAGCCCGTGGTCTCAAAACCCGGCGCATACGGCGCCGCGGGGGAACAAAACAAAATAGGGTACAAACCACCCGGAAAAAGAAAACAAAATGATATAGAAAGAAAACAGCAGGTACCGCACCACAGTGTGTTATGTGCCCACTATGTGAGACCTCAGCTAACAACCACCCAGAAAACTCGCCAAATTTCTGGTTGTCCTTTTCTTACGAAACCCCGCCCGAACTCAACGTCGCCATGCAGACCGAAGGTGGGAACTCTCAAACAATTACCGCAATATATGATATTTCCAAAACGCATTCCCGAATAATCTTTGGGACGGTCCTCGAACAATTCACGTCTGAGACATGGTCGGTTGTTGGTGTTTGTTGAAGCGCGGGTTTTCTCACGAGCCCGCACTTTGCGGCGCTTGTGATTATTATTCAGACGCCATCTTTGAAGTTGACTGAGCTGCCACTTCTACCTCATGTCTCATGCTGCACCCCCGAAGGTGTCCGGCGGACAAAAGCAGCGTGCGCCGGTTGCAAGGAGACTTTCTCTGTGTTGGAACCTTCTGCCGGGAGTGCTGCCGGGTGGTGCTGGGGCGCATCCCTCGCTTTTCTGGGCGTAGGCGTGACTCTGAGAGAGTTTGATGCAACGGGGTGGGGGATTTGCTTGGGGCTGATGGGGCTATTCGTGATCGGAGCCGGGGCAGCTACGCTGGTTGCCTGTCGGTTCGAAATCCGAACAGCCCGGGAAGAAAATGCGAGACGGACAACAGGGATTCCTACGCAAGGTGCTCCAGACAATGTGTAGAGTCGATGTTCCTTGCTTGGGGTTTACTGTTACAGGTGCATCCATCGTTTCTGCAACACTGAGTCTGAGACATTTGAGCTTTGGAGCATACGCGTATGTTTTGTGTTGTTTGGCCGAAGGCGGGGTTTAATTCCAGATTTTGTTTGTTCTCGGCGATACCTCGCCCCGGCTGGGTGATACAAGGGCAGGGACATTTGAACGCCGGGTGTGCAGAGAGAGAATCCCGTTATGGTGGGCTCGTTGCGGTAATGTCTCGTTGCCTGTTGGGCTACAATTTTCGTTCATCACGTCATTGGGTGAGTGGCGTGATTCGACGACGATGCCCGTTGCGGGCACCGATCTTCAGCACGCACTCGCTAACATGATGTGCGATGGGTTTGTTTACGATGCGGGTATGATTGGTTCAGCTCGTATCTTTCTGATGTCGCGCAGTAGACCCAGCAAATGACGAGAACTCGGCAGCGGAGATGTGAGGGTCTGTTCCCAAAATGCCATTTTTATCATTTGGGAACGACAGCCACCAGCGTGCACCGCGCAAGTTCACTCCTATACCTCAAAGTTGTAGGAACTTTTTGTGCAGTTTTTGTGGAAGAGACAATCCTGTGCCTGAGTTGATGTAAAGGCAAATACTACGCCATGAGTGGGCATTTTTACAGATGTGAGGTGAAGCAAAGAAAATATGTCATGGTGCTCGAAGCACTTGTACGTGCCGCTAGGAGATTGCAGCCACGGGCGCACGAAAAAGGCCACTTTGCGTAAACCGTCACCGTCGTGGCTGTAAAACCGACATGCATTCACGTGCTGTCGTGCTTGCTACGAATGGTCTAGTGTGCCATATAAACCTTCATTTCCGAAGAGAAAAGAGGGCTCCAGACCTGGCCGGGGCTAACCCCCCTCTGTTTGGGAAAATGTGCCATCTTGAGCGCCAACCAAGTATCAAATGGACCCAATTGGAGCACTAGTCTTTACAGAACAATGGAAGAGTCCACGTCAGTGGCCGACGGAAAACCATGCACCGGCGCGCGCCCAGTCCTCTGTTCATAGTTTGTTGCCCAAGTGGGTTCCACGGTGGAGGCAGGGTGCTGCTCCTGGGTATCATGTTTGTCCAAGGCTAAGAACACGCATGCAAATCCGGCCAACAAAACTACCAGGCAGGTCTTCCGCCTAAAACAAGTTTTGGTACGTTGTACAGCTGTTCGGGAAGCGCTCCCCCGCTTTCTCTTCCGCCCTTAAGGGTTGTTTAACCAACGGGTTATACGGACTAATCCCATGCGACAAGAAAACGCTGAAGTCTGAAGCGGCCAAACTCTTGCCCCAACCACAGATACGGAGCGCACACGCTTGCTGCGAATGACGTCGGTGCATACATTATTGGTCACGAAGCGTCCTCCGACGAGGAGCCCTCTCGTTCGCACCTCCGTGCACGTATTTACTCGTAACGCAACAAACAAAACAGTCATGAACTTAGCTATGTACACCATCCCGCGTCAGCGCGTCAGCGGCGATATTTTCGTTTTGGAATAACCTCCCTCGGTCTTCGCTCTGCCGTCTGGCCGTCCTCTTCCTCCTCTACGAGAGGGGCAAGGTTTATGCACAGCCACTTGGTGCCCGGCTCTCCGTCTTGTCCTTCCCCGATGGGGATGTGCCACGCGTGCTTGTTGAGCACCTGCTGATCCAGAAAAGCGTTTAGTCGCGGCGGCGGCAGCTCGAAAGGGTGCAAACATCGTGCTCACGGCTGTTGAGGAGCGTGCATGAAGCTGGTGTTCCCATCATCGCCAAGGGATAGATGGCGTTAGCTGCCCCTTCCCTGATTGAAGGAAAGAAGGCAGTCCGAACGTTCGAGGTCAAATTGCTGAATTTTGGCGGGCCACAAGCCGCCCGCTGCCGCCAAGGGAACGATGCCTCCCACGCATTTTCTCCCTTCGCCACCCAAAGGCTATCACGTGGCCTTGACGGTTCCAGCCCCGAGCAATCATTTCGACAACCAGACCCCAACACGGCTGCCTCGCTGTTTCCGGTATCCCATGTCGAAACACCCTCCCTCACTACGACCTGATTCTTCCTCCCACGAGGACAAGCCAGCCAGCCTAAGATAAAACATTCAGCCAGCCCGTTAACTGAAACGCTTGAGTCGCCGCACCTGCATGTCCCTCGTGAAGGCCGGAGACGGGCAAACGATTGGCAGTGTTGGTGGTGAAGACCCTTGCTCGGGAGGTCTATGTCTCCCTCGTTCCGAAGTCTTCTCCCCCTTCTCCTCATCCACGCTACTCTCGCTGCTTCTGGTTGACGCGCTCGAGCCGCGGGAGCCATCTTTTGGTACAACCGCCGGGAAGTGGAAACCACGCACCTGCGAGTTCCTCCACCTTGTCCAAGGCGGGATCACGGGGTTAAAGGGGTGGGGAGCTCGTTTTGTGAGAATGTGCAAGGAGGTGCGGTGGTTTTCTGCCGCGCGTTGACACCGGGCGGGGCTGAACACGGTCAACTCTGCTTGAGAACCACGTTTGGAGGTGCCCTATTCATCACCGCATCCGCAAAATCGCGATCACACGAGAACACGCAGGCAAGGCGCATAGCGAAGGCCCGAACAGGGGTCTCGCGCATTCGTCATGGAGGGCAAGCTAGGAGCCAGCAAGGCGTTGAAGGCGAAAAAAAAAAATCGTCGGGATCATGGAGAACATTTTGAACATTCACTCCAAGAAGAAATATGGTGGCGGGGGTGATTGCGACGAAGCCATGTTAATCCTTGGTGGTGCAGTAAGACCAGTTTTTTTTTTTTTGAGAGGCAATAACATCACGAAACACACAACAAGCCCGTCGAGGGTTAGGGTCAGAGTCAGGCTGAAACAAAAATTGATTCACGCATGACCAACTACAGTAACTCACCGCTTGAACGGAACCGGCTCGAGTAGGGCCATCCTGTGGTTCCTCATCTCGTCATTGCTCACCACGGTCAATCGCCCCGCGAAGCCGTCTCCCGAACTACTGACCCCCGTTCTCGTCCTTACGCGCTCCCCCTCCTCGCCAACGCCCTCCCCGGGGCCGCCTAGCCCCGTCTCGTCATCATCACCAGCGAAGGACCCCCGTAGCGTAGCCTCTTGCCCTCCTACGTATATCCCATCTACACCGTTACTATTGGATGGCTTGTACCCCTGCCGATTTTCGCGCAAGCCGCCGCCTCCATCACCGTTGGTGACCTCCCCCTCGCCTTCGATGGCAGCGGCGTCAGAGCTGACCGTGAAATACATCCAAAAGAGGTCGTCGTCCGTGCCGTTTGCGCAGCTGAACAAGGGAGAAAAAGCGGGGTGGGAGCGGCAATCAACAAGTATTTCAAGTGCTCAACCGCCGCCCGACGAACAGAAGGCAGAGGCTAAGAACCGTAGGTTCACAGCCGGACTCAACGCAACGCATCACCAACACCGCAAGGACCGCCGGGAGTCGTCAGCGGACTGTTTCCCGCAACAAAAGAGACCAGAAGCGAACCTGTAGAGCATCTGTAGCTGCCGCCACCCGTCGATCGTCTCCAGATCTTCGTCGCTCAAAGCTGACGAAGGGTTCTGTGGCAGGATGTACGGTTCAACAGACCGGGCCGAAAGGCAAAGCGTGAGCCGCATGCTCCCCAGGAGCGAGCACCACGGCGGGCAGGAATGTGTTGAGAACAAGGGCCAAAGCACGATGACAGAGCAACAACAGCCGACAACATGAAGGGGGCAGTGATTCTCCACAGAAGAGAAAACTTCAGGCGGCCAACTGTTTGTGCACCAAATAGACCCTGGGCACTGCTCGGAGCTTTTCGCCTCGACTCCGAAAGCGTTTCATTTCGCATGGCACGAGAAGACACGAAAGCCGCACGGAGAAGCCGTGAAACCCAGCATGGACTCAATACGTCGCAGCAAGGAACAACACCTGAACGAAAACCAAACTAGAAGCACAGTTTCGGCCGCTCGCCGTCAAGTAAAAAAAAAAACACCCTCCGAAATAAATTTGACGAGATACCTTCCGCCGTCTTGACCGGGCGGAGTTAGGCACGCACGGCCGAAGGTACCTCTCCGGCAAGATCACCAGCACCCGCTCCCCGTCCCGCTCGAGCTGCCTCGCCATCAGGTCTATCTGCGGACCGCCGCGGGCACAACGGCATTCAGCACGAGACGCTTCCTTCCTTGCTTGTTGCCGACACGATCCGCCGTGTTCTTTCGACGAACAACAAGAAGGCTCGGTGTCCATATCTGGACTCGTGAACGACCGCGTCATGTTTCATACTTCATAAGTATAGGTTGACTGCTGTAGCTTCTGGTACATTTTTTCGCGCGTGAAAAAGAGAGAACTCGCGGTGGCGAGAGGATCAAGGGACCAAAGTCGACCGTCGTTCCCTCTGCCATGGAGCTGCCTTAGCCTTCCGACTAGAGTGGAAGGTCCGAAGCGCGGCAAAGTCACTCCTAGCTGCGCGAAGATAGTTCTTGATTTTCGCGTTTTCGTACCCCACGACTGCGCGTGGAAGCGACTGGTTTCCCCGCGGGCTCACCTGTGAGATCTCGAACTTCCCTCCCTCCTTATTCTGGCCGTAGTAGGCGACGTTGCAACCGTCCACGACCGTCGTAAAGTGTACGCCCTGCAGCGGTTTGCGAGATGAGGGGGTCGTTCAACCAAACCACATCAAGGGCATGTTCTTCACCTTTTGTGGGGTGGGCTCTCGGGCTTTTGACCCATCCGCGCATGTAGCAATGCACTGGCTCACAGGGCTGAGATCACACAGGGTCTTTGACGGTGTAGTGGCAAAAATGTCTGAGGCCATCAGCGAGAACCTGTACAGTAGATATTCTGTGTTCAATATACGCCCACAACAAAACGAGACTATGGTAGGGAAACAGAGTAACAGCGTGGCCGCAGACACTATACTTTCCGGCTGCCACCGACACATGCACTCGGGCGGAGTGCAAAAACAATACCCCACGAATCGACAAATGTCGGCACGCTCGCGACAGACAGTCGCGCGGTGCCCCCGTTCTCAAGTGCCGCGCGGGACCGACTCACTTGTCTTCTTCGCTCCTCCAGCCAGGCGGCGAACTGCTCCAGGTCGCCCGTTGCCTCCCCCAGCCCCCCTCGGTCCGTTTCCCCCTGACCCTCTCCTGTATACGCGTAGTCAAGCCTAGAGCTCTGTCTCCTCTTGGGCGGCAGGGGCAGCGCCGGTGGAGGAGGCGGCGTGGGATACGCCGTCTCCGACGCAAGCTCCACCAAGGCCGAGCGAACGCGCGCGCGCGCCGCGGGGTCTAGCCCCACCACCTTCAGAGCGGCCCCGCAGCAGTCGCACATGCCCCCCGAGGCGAGAGACGCCGAGGAGACGCTGGCGATTCGGGGGGGTGATGACAAGTAGGTCTGGACGTCGCTCTCGCTGGAGATGAAGTTGGAGTCGGCGTTGAACGCGGAGACAAGGGTCTGGAAGTGGTGGTCACCGCTACCCGCGCTACTGCCAGGCAATTGATCGTCTTCTTTCGGTCATGATCACCACGCCGGCGGAGAGGCAAAGGGGAGACAGAACAGAGCGAACCGGCACGTGTTCGGGTAGGCGAGACGCGGACAAGGTGAAATAGAATCCCGGATGCAGCCGAGGTGAAGACCAAAAAAAAAAGCGCATTAGCCGGGTACCTGCGACCTTCGCCAAAGGAGATTGCGACTGGCAGCTTGGATGTTAGCACAGAGGTTAGCACAGAGGTTGGCTAGCTACATCCCAGACGTTGGTGGGGACAATCCGTACCGTCGTAAGCGTTCCAAGCAAAGGCTGTTCGCC